TACACACTGGACCTTTAAATGTTTCAACCATGTAACCAACTCAGTCTTTGTGGACCATGCATGCACACTTATGTGCTTTAAACTACATTATAATGTGTTACAAACCATTTATCACATGTTTCTATCCTGATTTTGAGCCCTAAATACTTCAAAGTGATCAAACACCATGACTTTAACAGCTTGAAGAAGCCAGCAATGGCTTTGGGCAAAGGACTGTCTGTGTGTGTCTGTATGTTTGTGTCATATGTGTACCTGAAAGTGTGGATTGGCCACACATTTAGAGATCTGTTTGAACAACGGCTCCTGAATTTTCTTGAATTGCGTTGGCTCAATGACATCCAGAATCTCCTCTATTTCACCCAGGAACATCACCTAGTTCAAGACGAGATGTAGAACATGAAGCAACATCAAGATACGTTTGACAACTGTGATTAGTGTGAAGTGTATTTATAGACAGAATACCTCTTTCTGGCTGCAGGTTTTAGGCCAAAACTTCAGCAGTCCACGGATCACCTGCGAACATAACAGAGAATTTCATGAGAATTTCTCTCCGATGTAAAAGAAGAAAAAATAACCAAAGACACAAAAACAGTCTGTTTGAGTGGGCGGTTGCTGGCACCCAATACAAATTTCTCTGCAGTGTGGACAAATTTAGCGCTTGAGGCTTTGTGCTTTCAGTGGGAGGAATGATTAAAAAAAAATAATAAAAAAGTACCGGTTCAGTGAGTGTAGGATCCTTCTCCAGGAACTGGACCACACAGTAGGCCAGCTGAGGGACACAAAAGTAGAACAGTAAATGTACCCAAAAACCGCATCAGACAAAGACTGCTTCACACAGAACTTCATCTGAATCTGAATAAATCTCTCGTTAAATATGTATTTGAGGTGAAAAATCTATAATCAACGTCATTATTCTTATAGATTCCTACAGTGGAAAATGTGAGCTATTTAAGATAAAACACAGTAATAATCATTGAATCAGTGTATTTTCACATCCAAGCCACCAGGAGGTGCTATAGTACAGAGGGTACACCATGACAGTGCTCAACCCTGCAGAGACAATCCTTAATAACAGCTGTATAATTTAACTAAACACTACAGCAAATATTTTCTGTGAGGTTTTAAATGATACAACTCAAGAATATGATATAACAAAATAGAAAAATTAACAGTAAAGACAATTTCTCCTACCTGTGCATGGAAAAGGGACAATGCTTTAGCTGTGTGTAACGGGATGAGCACCTTCATAAGGAACTGCTTGTGCTCGGCCTTCAGAGGCAAAGCAAACCCGTTGATGATACTGTAAACAGAAAAACAACAGGACAACGTTAAGACAGGTTACTGTGCAGAAAGGCCAACAGCAGCAGCAGCACACACACTGAACATGATCAGAGCAGGGCACGGCTGTGGACGTATTCGCTTCCTGAAGCAGAAAAGAGATAGAGACAATTCAGTGAAATGTTGGAACCAAGATGGCAGAAGAAAAGAAGCCTGAGGGGCCTTTTAGTTTAGGACTGCAAGAGAGCACAAGTCCTCCACGTCATCGGACACAGATAACATTCTCCACAATCCTGTTTACAACCTGGACCAGATTTCTCTGATACTGATGATCACATTTTTCTTTTATTTCCATCTTTCTTTGAGAGTGTAAAAACAAGAGTTTTTTTTTTTTTAAAGTCAGTTTTACTGAATGCCAGACAGTGAAAGGAGTCAAAACCAATAATATGACTTCCTAAAGGGCAGAAAACAAAAGGCTGAACGTTTAACCTTTTCAAATTCAACTAACATTTTATTTCCCAGTGTTTACTGTGATTGTTCTGCATGTCAGAGTGCGTCCACATGGTGTCACATGAACAAATGTTCAATGTTACTCACCTTCCCAGGATTTCTAGCAGCTCAGCAACTCCATTGAAGTGCTCGGTTTCATAGATGAACCTGCAAGAGCAACAGAAATGATAAAGCACACGAACTCCAAAAATATGTCACAACTCCAAAATAACACGGCGCATAACAGAACAGGCTGCTCCCGATACTGTGTTCCTTTTAAACTTGGTCACTCTGATTTGGGAGCTGGATTTTATAAATAAAACATAAACATGCAGACCACACAACTCTAATATTATTACCGTAATAAGTTTCTGTGCCCAAAAAAAAAAAGCTGTCCGTCTGCCTGCAGAGCCTACAGGAAACAGGGATCACCTTTAAATTCTTGGCCAAAAACGTGAAACCTGCAAATTCCTTATTGATTAGAAGTCTAATTTAAATAGCTAGACTAGATAAAATAAACATATTTAAGCTGGAGACCTTAAACCAACTGCTCTTATGTAAATTATTGATCCATACGTCATTCATTTCCTCTGTTTGGTAACCCACTTCCATCTAGCTGTGCTCCCATGGTATGCACAGCCACAGCCTGACAACTGTGGCACTATTTTTATTCTCAGTGACAGATGGTCAAAGTGGGTGCACCCGTTTTGCCACCTTGCCTGTTGGAAACGACATCAAGTGCCCCCTGTTTCAATCATCTACAGCCCATTGTCACGCAGCAACAGGAGGCAGAACAATCAGCGCACTGCTGAGGAGAATATCTGATGCCTCAATCTGAACATTTTTCTTCTTCCTCTCTGTTTTAATGGGCTGAGAATAATCTGTTTATGCCCATTTAATGTCATGACGCGAAGAGAATTATGTCTAAGATGGATAAAATATCAAACTGAGCTCATTGTGCTCGTAACAACTGAAAACCTGAAACTCCACACCAGAGCTTCCCGTTAACTGAGCTGATGGAACATATTTCTGGGGTGCATTCATTGTATGTTTCTGTGAAGCAGACAGACAGTCGTGCCTCCAGTGTCCCAATGTAAACTGAGACAGGTTAGAAAATGCTCCAAAATTCAGGAGAACAGTCTTTTATTATCCCAATGAAGATGGATTTTTTGCCTGTGTAGGAATCCTCAGTGAAAGTATGGAACTAAGAAGCCAAAGGAACTCAAGTAGGAACCCAAAAAAAAACAAAAACAAAAAAAAACGTTGACACTAGTGGCTTCCAGCAGTTCCTCTTGTTTGGTTGTTTATTTAATATATATTTTAAAGCTCTCTTTATTAGACAGGACAGTTTGAAACAGAAAAAGGGGGGGGGAATGAGCCGCATTTCGACTACGTTTAACCTTGCAAACTCTGCCTTAATAGTTCCCGAACCTTTGGAAACCCCAGGGGAGACAGCACTTTTGGGCACCATTGTACAGAAACTCTGTCTCTGGTTCCTCTGGTTGAAACGCAGGTTTAGCTCCTGAGTTCCTCAAAGGGTTTTAGGTCCCCCAGGAAAGTTTCTGTGGTGGAAACAGCCTACAGGACTCTTCCTGCCTTCCTCATAATACTTTGGCAGCATGTCACAGTGAACTTTTTTGTAAATGACAACACTGCTCCAAAGGGTCTAACTTTTTTGCCAAAGACTGATGACAGTTAAAAGAAATAAAGGGAACAGGTGTTGGAAACATAAGAACGGTTGCATTGAAATGCTGACAGCAGAAGGCCACTCAAGATTGTAATTTTTTAAAACAATACCCACTGGATTGTGACTTGTTTTCCTCTATTCACGTCCCTGAACATCCTTGAACATAATACAAACTCTTCACTGACAGTTGTCTTAGCCCGTTTGTTTGTACTACACTTATTGTTGTAACAATGTTTTGAATGCTGCTTTCCTGGCAAAGTCTCTCTTGACATTTTAATCCCAATGAGCCATTAACCTCGTTAAATAAAGGAAAAGAAAGAAAAAGAAAGACTCCCCCTCGACATGACGTGATAGGACATCAAACATGTTTTCCTGCCTTTTGAACGTTTCACTCACCGCAAGAAAATGTTGTTGATCTGCTTCCTGATGAAGGCCCGCAACCCCAGAAACTTTCCGTAAATCCGATGCAGGATGGTCTTCAGGAAGTCCCTCTCCCTCGGGTCCTCGCTGTCGAACAGCTCCAGCAGCTGGAAGGACAGAACAAGAGAAACACGTGACCTCAGTTTTCAGTCCTGACTCATTTAAAAGCGGTTTCCCATTGAATCGATAATACAATGTTAACTTTTATCATGTCTTTATACTGTAGAGCTAATTGTATTGTCATAACTAAGTCTCATACACTGTACGCATATTGTGATTATACCTCTAAAGCATCTGACTGAATGGGAAATGTTTGTACCATTTTAAATACTGACTATATATTCAGGGATTTGGTGGTAAATGCTGGTTGGTGGTGGGACTGATTGGGTTGTTTATCTATAGTTTTTCCCTGATTAGTTTCTGTGAAGTTGACAGATGATATAATCAATCGATCAATCACCTGCTGAGCTGAAGACATGTTCTGCATCTCATCTCGTTATCAAGTAGTTACTAGATGACTCATTGAATATGTGGCCTTTGTTACGTGATGTGCTGGACCAGTTTCCCCGAGGCTGAATAAGGCCTCGCTATAAAACGCTGCAGGTTATCCTGATAATGATAGTAAAATACTGCTGGGTGCTGTGATTACTTATCGTAAAATGTGTTTTCTCTATAATCGCCCACCTCTAGGCTAACCAGCAAATTAGGGAAGCCTTTTCTGTCAAACTTAACAAATGTACTGTGTTCACTCCAACACAGTAATTTGTGCAAATAGGTATAAGTAATCAGGTCTTAAATTGCCAGCTACCAACATCTTATGTAACCAATATACAGAATGTGTGACTGAATGCTCTGTGTTGAAAATGCATTTGAAAACAGCTATTTCCAGCACCATATGATGAGTCATTGTTACAGTACTGTCGAGGGCAGCTGTTTTCAGGCTCAAATCAGTTTCAGACTTTGGTTTGTATCTTCTACTAGCGTGCCACCTCTGTAACAGATGTCTATTTTTAAACCTGCACATATCCAAGAAAGGGTTTCATTGTGGACACAGGTTCTTCTTGTGCACTGCGTTGATACACATTCATTCAGCTACACATACACATAAAGCTGGGAGATAAGGTGGTGCAACCAGTCTTTCTCTGTTGAAACTGAGCAGCGATAATGTAGCAACTGGAGGTTTCGCCAAAGGCATCACATGGACAGTTCACAAGGTGTTTCAAGCGTTGCTTATTCCTATTTCTATAAATAGTTTCTCGGTTCAGCAAAGAAGTTGTCGCCATCTAGTTGGTTCTTTCTACTTACCATCACCTTCCAGACTATCAAGCAGCAGATGTTAGTCGTATTGTATCCAACTGATCAGCCGAGCTGATAATCAGGCCATTAATAATGTAAATAGATTTACTTTTACACACTTACGACCTCTCAACTGCAGTGAAGTTGACCAATGAGGATGAAATGGGACATATACATTGGCTTTACTATGAAACGAAAGCTGCAGAGTATCATTTAGTGTGTGCCTGAGGAAATAAATATTCGATCACGATGGGGCGCGCTAGGATGTCAGTTTTCTCAGGAGTCTGACCAATACACGTCCCTGAATAACCCAGTGACCACACTATGATAAGGCTCTGTTCCATTTAGTTTAGCAGAGCCCTTCCCTGTGAGCCAACATGCACAACAGCAGAACCCTGACTCTGTTTGACCTGAATGGAACCTGTAGCATTGGTGACTCCTGTGTTTACTATTGCAAAAATGGCTGCTGTAAAAAAGGTCTTGAGAAAACACTCCTGTGAAATCAAATGCTATTCAGTCCAGTTCATTTCATAGTTATGATAAAAATTATCCACTGTGAAATTATAGTAGTAATTCTTGACTAAAAGCCTTTTTTTCTCACCAATTATGATTGAGATTGACACTTGACTACAGTGACTTTGAAGCTATTTCACGTACAAAACCTCAGCCTCCATCTGACACCAGCTAGATACTGTCACATTTAAACCTAGGGTTGACCTGTACTGCATGAAGCCTGTTTCTAAATCAACTTTAACCTGCGTGATCACAAGTGTGAAGCGCGACATACACGCGAGAAAGCAACCAAAAACACACTGAGCACAAGTTGGAATGTGACCGTTTCAAGCTCAAACATACAGAGTTAGCTGTGAAGCAAATGTGCAATGCAAATATGTCGCTGTGAAAGATTGCCTTATCAACTCTATAGTATGGATATAGCAGGGCAAAGCAACCACACAGTTTGTAGCTACAGCAAGGAACCGTCTCACTGTCTCTAAACTAAACATTGTGTGCAAAAACAATTGTGCCTTGCAGCCGAATAGTTTAGTTGCAACTAGAGTGAGCGAGCGTACCAGTATTCTGAATTCCACAATGTTAAATTAATGACAGTTACTGCTCTGCAAAAACAGACCCTCTCACATTAGCACACAGACACATAACCTTTTATCAGTGATCCCTCACTAAAAAAAATAAAAATAAATCCTAAAATACACCCCCACCACGTGTCTGACCACATGTTCTGCTCTCAGCTCCACATATGGTTGTTTTCCCATGTCGAAGGCTGTTTTCAGCAGCAGCTGTTTTCTGCACTAGTTGATCGTTTCTCACCAGAGCAGCGCTAGTTTTAAAGATAGGTATTCAATCACCAAAACATGCCATTAAGTAGCGAGTAGGGTAACAAAACTGGTAATAATCTGGGTCCTAAGGAGGAGGCTTAAAAGGACATACCACCAAGACTATCATGTATAATGTGTTTTTTGACAGGTTATCATTGGAATAGCATGATTACACCTGACAGGCACACGGCTTTACAAAGCGCTGACTAAATCAAAGTTGACATC